AATTTAACAGTGAAAGACTAGAGGGAAGGCAGCTAGTCATCAAAACCCACCGCCAACTCTTGGGCTACTCTTTTACCAACGAATACTGGGCTTGACATTATAACGCTCCCACGGCTGAGAGGGCGATCATGTTTGGTGGGACGGAGATTCGAATCCGCGACCCACAGATTGCGAGTCAAGCGCCCTAACCACCTGGCCATGCCGGGCCTTTTATCGTTGCAAGTCCACAAACTTACCGCTGACCGACCAGGGAACTACATGGTTTCATATATAAAATAGTTTCAGTTTAAAAGTACATTATGTTATTTCTCATAAAAGCTTGAAAACACCAAACCTAATTTCTTTTTGAATTCATACAAACAACACTTTATTAACACCTTTGGTGTTTTTAAACCAAATCATTGTTCTGCTTCTATTTTTCTTCATATACCCTCCGGCGGCTCTGGGGTAAGTCTGAGATCTTATAACACTAAAAAAATTGGGTCTCGATACTCATGGTGGGCATAACACAGATAGCCCATTTTGTAACTTTATGATTAACAACAAACAAAATAAAATATTTATATAAAAACGAATTCTCGTCATGCAAGTAGCGAAACTAAAGGTTTCGGTTGGAGTATTAAAATAAGTCTGACTTGTTTTCTACTTTAGAAATGTAAAATGCGTAACAGATTAAGACACAATTACACATTAATTGATCTTTTATTTCAGGAATAGCTGACTGATTTTCAGAAGTTAAGCAAGTCGTGACATTTCTACTTTGCCCTTGAGTACGTAGCTGCTTAAAGAAGTATTCAGAATCGTTTGTTTTTAGGCGCTCAGCTTCGTCACAATCCTGTACCGCAACAGTGGTTGACTGGAAGATATAAAACTTAGCTGAGAGTGCCAGGGTAAATATATATATATGTCGTCCAAAGCATATTTATTGATAACCTGTTCGACTAGATACGACCTCTGTTACAAAAATGATCTTGTAAAAAAAAATTAATAATACCTTCACTATAATAATTTTGCTCGTGTAAGTAAGATTAAATCTTTCATGTTGTGTTAACATTTGATAATTAATGTTTCGACGAGCCACCTACATTGTGGCAACTAAGATAATAAAGTGTTTTCACATGCAAGTTCGTTGTTGTATAGATTTTATTATTCATTCTCATAAGAGCAAATTACTAGTTATTTTAAACTTATTTATTTAGTATTACTGAAATATATTTCCTAAGTAAACATTTATAACGTACTCTCTTTCACAATTGTTCAATAAATAGCAAAAGGCCCGTACTTTCAATATGCAGTGAACAAACCCACAGATTTTTTATACTTCATTCGGACGCCGCTAGGCACTGGCACACGAGACCCGTGCGCCGATTCTGTTCCGAATCCCCAGTTGGTGTTTTAGAAACTCATGATCGATATCACACTGAAACGCCGACAATTCCCGCGCTATGAGCCCGAGCCCCGAATCTTTTAAGCACCAAGCGACGCCTCTGACTTCATCCTAAATCAATCTGATAATCAGCTACTGTCTCTGAAACACTTTGGAATTGAATATTCTGACTAATAATTACTTGGACATCAACAGCGTAATCTAAATGAAAAAAAAAAAAAAGTGGCTTGAAAGAAGAACCCCGTAACTATTGAAGCTTCGTCGTCAGACTTACAAGAAATAATTCAATTAACGAAAACTTCAAACGTGTCACTCACTGAACACTTCTACTTCAAATGTCACTTACTGAATACTTTTAATAAAGAAGCATCTCTTATTCAAAAAAAATTAGTCACAACCCATAAAGTAGTATGCGTCATATTAACAGCAGATAAATGATATCGTGTAGTCTAAAATTAAACGTTCGTACTAGAGCCAAATCGAAAGCCACAACAAATAGTTAAAAGATTTTCCCTGTTCAAACTCTTTTGTAAAGGTTTCATCATTTAGTAAAAAATCAAACAAAGAAATCACTACATCTAGAACCAATTGAACATTGATATAAACAATGCGAGAAAGAACAGACTAGGCTTGGTCATAGTGAGAAATCTTGGTATTGAAACAGAGGAGACAAACACTGGCTGCCAACTTACCAAATTTTACGCAGCAAACGTATGACAGAAGTAGTTATAATGATAGATAAGTAAGCATCCAGTTTATGCTGTTAATTTATATTAATACAAACGAAGAAATTAAAGAGGTAACTTATCAATGTCAAGTGGTTTCCAACACTGTGTAACTTTACTTCAATGGCAATTTAAACTAAGCTAAAAGGTTATCCTTATCCGTCTTCCTCCATAGTAAGAAAAGTAACCCAGCAAACAAAACAATATATTATATAATAACTACAAATGACTGATCGATAAGGTAATATAAAAACTTCGAAGTTTACTTAATGTCTCACTTCTTGTGTTTAACACACCTTGAAGTTCGTAATGCATTTATAAAAAATAAATTGTTTCTTTAAATTCACGGAGGAAATCGGCAGAAAAAGTATGAACATGACCTATATATTGATAATTTAGTGTGTCAAAATGTTTCTTTATTCTATCTTTATACGATCACATTAGAAACATTTTGAATAGTTATTCTAGAAGAATCAACAACTAAACGTGTAAAATTATATTTATGAGTTATTCAGTGTTATGTTTACCAACAATACAACGGCTTTTAAACAATGATCACGATGTAATTGGTCACTAAAACATTATTATGTACTTTTCAATGACGTATTTTGATCAAGATAACTTTAAATACACGAAACCATGAGTTTATTTTTACTTCTATAGTCTCCACGCTGCGTCAGTGGTAAGTTTCTGAACCCAGAACGCTATAATTCGATTACCCACGGTGGACAGAACACATTATATGACGTAGCTTTGAGTTGAACCCAATAACAAAAAACCTCTATATTTACTATGCACATTTGTTGCACACGAATATAACTTATGAATCCACTTACTCCATAGCGATGAGGACAAATATTTGTTTTATGTAAAAAGGAAAAAAAATCGCCCAAGAAATACCAAATATTTGGTATTTTTAGTTTATTGAGTTGCTGATAAATGGCCATATCAAAGACACAAAGGTCCCACTATAGTCGTTCTCAATTTAGAACTGCTAACTAGAGGAAGGGAAATCAGTCAGCAGTAGTCAATGCTTACACAGCTACCTTCACTCGAATAACATATACAGCTAAGTGTGCGGAGCGTCTTTAGCAGCGTGCACGGGCTCGAATCTTGAACCTTCGATTGCAGCCCGATACGCTAGTCTCTAGGTCACGCTCGACCCAAAATAAAAATAAAAGAAGTAGTGTGAATTAGCATAACAATTAAATTTAAACTTGATTAGTTGTTGTTCATAATTATTTTAAATAAACACGACTGAAACAAGAAGGAATCCTCAGTAGCCGCGGCACTTGAAATTTTTTTTAGGCAGGATTAAAGTAAATTAACCTATGAAACATGTTTTCTTCTTTTTTTTTGTGCGCCACCAATACCAAGCGTTGGGAGCGTGTGTATCATATTCAATTATATTACTCATTAGGATGTCTACCAATCTACTCTCAAATTGAAATTGTTTTAGACAAGATTAGAGTATATTAATCTATGAAACCTTAGGCGTGGTCCAATACATCAATCGAAAGGGTTTGACCTCTTTAAACTATTTAAATGTTTTTAAGCCCAATGACAACTTCTTAAAAGGATACAAGATAACGTGGTGTAAACTAGTTTTATATTAATGCATTTTTCTATTATTGAAATTTTAAAATAGTACCATAATTAACCTCAAGAAAAAATGTTAATACTCATCTAGAAAACCTTGAAAGACATTCATGAAACTTCGTGAAGGTTTACGACAGCTTCTGCTTTATTTATATATTTCTCAAAACAACTTGAATATTGTTTGTATGTTGTTAAGCGAAAAGCTACTCAATGAACTATCTGTGACCTCGAATATTATGACACATTGAAATCAAATGAAGAAAGGTCATTGCTGATGTACTGTACTGAGAACCAATATCATTGTCATTATATTCCTTCAATTTTTCGTGGATTCCTCCAAATTTCGACTTCTACAGCAGTAGTTATGACACGTCCTGCATTTACAGCCGGCTCAAAATGAATTATCTTTCTAATCATGGCATCATCTCTCTCAAAACATAGTGTTCTTTAAACTACTACCTTCCTTTGGCCACAGCTTTTTTTTGTATGATCAGTTGTTTAACCCTCCTATACTGCGTTGAAAGTAGTCACTTCAGTGGGGGTCATTGGTGAGTGGGGACGTGGAGACTAATAGGCGCAGGGGGGGGGGTGTCCTCTGATACCGGGTGGTCACGTGACGCCATAATTACACAGAGTAGCGCCAAAAGGCAAATAGATACAAAGTGTGCCACTAGGGCAGATAGTTCTAATTTGTTTTACTAGGGGGCGATAGTTACAAGTCGTAAGGGGAAATGGATAATCTGTAGTGCGTTGGCAGATATTTTGTTATATGGTTCGCCCACGAACCACCATAGGGTATTGTTGATTATAAATGTCAAGTTGTGTCATGTTATACAAACATACTGGTATTTCATTCTCTTTAGTTCTTACGGTTAATTGTTGCCTAATGATAAACAAGTAAGTTTTGGAAGAAATGTCGACTGTTTTTAATGTGTTTCTATTCACAGTTTTATTTTAACTGTTCGATGATTTTATTAAAAATGCTGTAAAGTGGTTTACAAATATGTAAACCACTATAACTTCTTACAAACAACATCACCACTTACCATAGAACATTTTTCAAATGACATTATAATAAATCCTAGTCACAACACCAACTTTTAATTTAATCAATTGATTTGATTTACACGCAAGAAATTTAAGCACAAGTCTTTCTACTTCTAAGTATGGAATCCTGTCAGGCAGTCTAGGTAGTGTGGCGCCATCTCTAACTCCAAAACCACGGACCACGAGGAGGCAATTGACTGGCAGCATCACATTTACTTTAAGTTTTATTAGTATTTATTATTGTGAATTTCTTTCTTTAACGCCAAGTATCCAAAGTTAATAAGGAGATTTTATAACTATTATTTTTACTACTATTATAAGCTTCAGAAGTTTGGCACAAACTTTTCTTCCTCCAATTACCTCATCAAGATTCTTATAGCTGTAATGTCCAATTACCTTATCCAAGTACTTATAGCTGTGATGTCCAATTACCTTATCCAAGTTCTTATAGCTGTGATGTCCAATTACCTTATCCAAGTTCTTATAGCTGTGATGTCCAATTACCTTATCCAAGTTCTTATAGCTGTAATGTCCAATTACCTTATCCAAGTTCTTATAGCTGTAATGTCCAATTACCTTATCCAAGTACTTATAGCTGTGATGTCCAATTACCTCTTCAAGGTTCTTATAGCTGTGATGTCCAATTACCTTATCCAAGTTCTTATAGCTGTGATGTCCAATTACCTCTTCAAGGTTCTTATAGTTGTAATATCCAATTATCTTATCCAAGTTCTTATAGCTGTGGTGTCCAATTACCTCTTCAAGGTTCTTATAGTTGTAATATCCAATTATCTTATCAAAGTTCTTATAGCTGTAATATCCAATTATCTTATCAAAGTTCTTATAGCTGTAATATTTAATTACCTGTTCAAGGTTCTTATAGCTGTAATGTCCAATTACCTTACCAAAGTTCTTATAGTTGTAATGTCCAATTATCTTATCAAAGTTATTATAGCTGTAATATCAAATTATCTTATCAAAGTTCTTATAGCTGTAATGTCCATTTACCTTATCAAAGTTCTTATAGCTGTAATATCCAATTACCTCTTCAAGGTTCTTATAGCTGTAATGTCCAATTACCTCTTCAAGGTTCTTATAGCTGTAATGTCCAATTACCTCTTCAAGGTTCTTATAGCTGTAATGTCCAATTCAATTTGATTTAAGTAGCATATGTCCTTTCGACTTTTTGAATGACAAGGGAAATTTACTGAGCCAGTATATTGCTTTTTCTAATTCGAATGTTATGTTT